TGGCTTACCGAACCCGAAGGTTCATCACCGAATTAACCAAAGCCCTCCACCGGACCCTGTCCTGGGCCAACAAAATCCAGTCTCCTTCAACTCCTATCTCCCATAGATCCCGCCTGAGATTATCCTCCCATCTACGTCTAGGTCTCCCCAGAGGTCTCTTCCCCTCAGGATTCCCAACCAACACCCGGTGCACACCTCTTGTCCCATCCATGCGCGCTACATGCCCAGCCCATCTCATTCTTCTCAACTTAATCACCCTCACAATATTGGGGGAGGAGTACAGATTTTTAAGCTCGTCATTGTGCGGTTTTCTCCACGCCCCATCGTCTTCTCTCTTAGGCCCAAATATCCTCCTCATCACCCTGTTTCCAAAAACCTGCAATCTGTGTTCCTCTCTCTGAGTGAGAGACCATGTTTCGCACTTTTCTAAAAGCGACGCGTACGTTTGTTACACTAAGCACGCGGAGGGTATAGAGCAACGGGAAAGAGAGTGTGGAGCGGCCTTAATGTGGAAGACGAGTGACGCAGAGACAGAAACATGAGTAACCGATGTCCCTGTGCGAGGGCAGTGAAATGCGTCCGTCACTCCGTCCGTAGTCATTGTGTTTCTGTATTGTGCATTCAACGGAGGCAGTCATGAAAATTAATCATTATTTTACTGTCTGAGCGAGGCTTAAAAAATTAAGTAGAGAGCGAGACAAAATCGTGGAACTAAATAAAGAGGACGAAATGAGAAAAGAAAGAAAGAGAAAGAAAGGAAGAAAGAAAGAGAAGTCGCTGAAACACCGGAGTGTTGCTCAGGTTATGCGTCTTGTGTGGTGGCGTGTTTGAACGACCTATTCTCCGGATAAGGCAGACCTGACGCTGCAGACATTTGCCAGGATTTATTGCGAAACTCCTCTCAATGCAATCTTGCATAATCAAACAGGAGCAATGCCATATAAGGCGCTCGGCTTCCAACATTTTTACCGAGCGATCGAACCTTATACGTCAGTACATTCGGTTGCATTAGATGTCCACGTGTTCTTACCGTAAGGCACAGGCGTATCGGAAATCTCTTGTCGACTGCGACGAAACGCGCGCTCGGATCGTGACGCACATGTTATTGATGTTATAAATACGTTAACTAGGCGATTGTCATTCGTGTGTCATAAGTCTGCGCTCCGTAGGGGAATCCACCCGTCTCGACATTTAAATGGCCCCATAATTACGATATTCTGCGCTGAGAAAATATCGTCACTGTTTACGTACACAAGACGCGTTCTAGGAGTTTGGAAACAGCGAGTGTCTTTCAAGCCTAATAGAAGTATTTATTTTCTCTGTAACGCTGATTAGCATTAAGTTATTTATTACGATTACT